GCTTGGCTTGGACTGAACATATAAGAGGGTTTTCTGCAACGTTTAATCTAATGGGTTTTGAGCGGGAACTTCAGATCCTGCCTTGGTTTTCTTGCTATCACTTCCCCTCAATAAAAATTCCCTTTTGAAATAATGCCTGTTTCAAGAGTTCTGCTTTCTTGAACAGAGAAGAGAGGCAAGTCCTTACATTATGCAGGATCTGCAAAGTGGTCAGCCCAGAGAAACATCACTCTACTGAGAAGATTTGCAAACCATGTCCAATCAGGGCAGCAAGCAGGGAGAGGGAGTGCTGGGGTGAGATCTCCACCACCATCCAACTGGACGCAGCCTTCAGATGCCCAGTGGAAGTGCCAGCCACCATGGAAAATGCCACGAAGCCGAGATGTTCTATTGGAGTGGGATAGTTGGGAGGGGAGAACCAAAGGGGTCACCCTCACCCATTACAGCCAGCAACAAGGCTGAAAATGTGAACTGGAAGCCTTTTTGGACCATGAGGACCTGGCCAAAGAACTGGTCCAAGATGACTGCCTCAAGAAACACGTTATACATTTCATGATGAAGTCATTTGAAAACCTGAGAGCCACATGAGCCAGCCACATTTGCCAATGAGCCCTTGGAACTAACCATGGAAGACTACAATGGGACTTTAGCATTTATAGTGATCCCCAGAACGGAGTGACTCATGGTCCTTGGTCTTGCTTGCTAATATGTGGAAAGCTGTAGGAGACTGGAAAGAGGGACCCTTAATGTTCTCATGGGGGCTGACAGCACCGAACGAAACTCAGGAAAAGGTGGGCCGAGAGAGGAACCGGCAGCTGCTGCACAAATCAAGCCATCACAAGGCATTCCCCGAGAATATAGGGACCTAGCTGAAGTGTTCAGTGAAGAAAGCTCACATTAACTGCCCCTTCACAGGCCCACAGACTATGCCATTGAGATTCTCCAGAGAGCTAAACCTAAGATATATTCCATGACCTCTAGGGAGCTAGATGAGTTACACATCTTATAGATAAAAATGTAGCCTCTGTGTTTTTTTCAACCAGCCAGACCCAAAGTGGCAGCCCCTGTGTTTTTCCGAGAGAAGATGGGTCTTTGCACTTATGCAATTATAGGGATCTGAACGCAGTGTGCGTAGAATACCCCCTTCCCCTCATGTTAGCCCATCTTTTGAAAGGAAAGATTTTTTTCCAAATGAAACTTATGTGAAGACTATTACTGAATTAGAATTATGGAAGGGGACGAGTGGAAAACTGCATTCAATTGCCCACTGGGATGTTTCCAATTTAATGTGCTGCCCTTTTGGTTAGAAGGGGCCCCTGCTGTGTTCATGCAACTAATCAATGAGGTGTTGCATTAGCACCTCTATAAGGCATTTTTAGTTTACCTTGTTGACATATTAATCTCACCGGAAACCAAAGTGGAGCACATAAAATTGGTCCTAAAGAAGTTCCGCACAGGAAAGCTCTAGGCCAGGAGTATCAAACTCAAGGCCCCTGAGGTGTTTAGATATGGCCCATGGGGCTGCCCTGGAAACAGCAAAGGACTGTGGTGCCTCTGCCAGCAAAAATGGAGTACCGTTTTCACTGGCAGAGGATTGCAGGAAGCCATTGCAGCTGAAAACGGAGCTAGCGAGAGCTGCACATCTCTCATGAGCTCTGTTTTCATTGGCAGTGTTGTAGGAGCCATCCCCAGCCTACAACGGAGCTCACAAGGGTTACAAGCAGCCCATCTGAGCTCTGTTTCTGCTGGCAGAGGGTTGCAGTAGGCCATCCCAGCTGAAAATGGAGCTTGCGAGGGCCGCACGCCTGCCTCCTGAGCTCCACCTTCACTGGCAGAGCACTTGAGCCACCACAGGTGCCCCAACATAAGTGATGTCAAGCTGGCTATGCCCACCCTGGCTGACCCATCCCCCCCCCCCCCCCAAAGTCAAACACAACCCTGATGCAGCCCTCAATGAAATCGAGTTTGACACCCCTGCTTTAGGCTAAGCTATTAAATGTGAATTTCATCAAGATAAAATAGACTACCTGGGCTACCACATCTCCCAGTAAGGAGTGGAGATAGACCCAAAAAAGGTTAGAGCAGTACTTGACTGGGCTCTGCCACGCACAAGGAGGCAGCTACAGAGTTTTCTAGGTTCCGCCAATTTCTACCAGCAATTTATCTCAGCATTTGCCCAGATTGCTCTCCCTATCACCAATTTACTGAAGACAAAAGGGAGTGAGAAACCCAAGCCAGGGCAGCCCTTAAAATGGACGATGGAATGCCAAGCAGTGTTTGAAAGCTAAAAAGGCTTTTCTCTGCTGAGCTGGTTTTAAAGCACCTGGACCCAGAAATCCCATTTGTGATCCAAGCTGATGCCAGTGATGTAGCAATCAAAGCTGTCCTCCTCCAGCAAAAGAGCAGGGGCAGTTGCAGCCATGTGTTTACACCTCAAAAAAGCTGGCTGACATGGAGCAATGATGGGCGATTTGGGAAAAGGAAGCCTACTCTGTCCATTGGTTCCTTCTGACCTGGTGCCATTTCTTGGAAGGGGGGGGGGAATTCTTTCACAAAAACCTGAAAGCCCTTAAAACTCTGCATAAATTATCCACTAAACAAGTACATTGGGCCCAGTACTTCCAACTTTTCAATTTCGCCCTCCGATACCTCCCGGGGGGGGGGGGGGGGGAACTTCCTGGCTGATGCTCTGTCCAGATTGCAGCAGTACAATAATAATAAGCCAGAAATAATTAGATCATTGCTCCCAGCATCACAGCTAGCCGCTAAAGTGATGACCAGAGTACAAATGAAGGGAGACCTCCAAACTGACAACCCAAGCTTAAACAGATCCTCATAACTGATGAGTGGTTCCAGAACCATAAAAACTCTTGTCTAATGAAAGAGGGTTTACCGTGGATGGGAGGGAAACTATAGGTCCCGAAAAGCCAAAGACACAGTCTGATGCAAATGTGCCATGACTCAAAAATGGTTGGCCACTTCAGATTCATGAAAACATTACACCTAATAAAGAGACAGTTTTGACGGCCCTCCCTCAAGAAAGGCATTAAGAGCTATGTGGCAAGCTGTCCCGTTTGCGTGGCGGCAAAGAGGCAACAGGAAAAATGCCCAGCCTTTTGCAGACAGTTGTCAAACCTTCAACACCCTGGAGAGAGATCTTCATGAATTTCATCATTGAATTACTTGAGAGTAAAGGGAATACTGTCATCCGGTTATGGACCTGTTTTCAAAATGGAAAACAGGTCCATTTCATCCCAGGCCAAAACATTCCTATAGCAAAGGCCCCTGATAAGATATTTTTACATCACATATATCACCTACATGGGTCCCTCTCAAAGAATTGATTCTAGAGCAGTGCCTAAGATGCTTTATTAATTATCAATAGGATGATTGGACCAATCTACTGCCCTTTGCAAAGGTGGCCTACAACAATGCAGTCCATTCTAGGACAGGGTTTACTCCCTTTAGAGTAGTCACTGGCCAAGACTTCAACCTATGCCAGAGTTATCAGCTGAGGAGCCCACAATACACTTTCTTAAAGAGTGAATACAACAGTTACAGAACACCTGGCCAGTTGTGAGAAAAGCGTTAGAGGGGCAGCATACAAAGCACAAGCAGATTTTTTTTAAAAGGGCATGAACAAAACCATATAAAATAGGGGACAGGGTGTATCTTACAATTAAGACAGCCACATTACCACACCCCATTATGGTAGTGGGTGAGCAGCACTCTGAAATTAAAGAAATACTTGATTCTAGGAAACATCATGGGGCAACCCAGTACCTGGTTGCCTGGAAACACCTCCCACCCTCTGAAAATGAATGGGTCCACAAAAAGCATATGCGAGCCCCTAAACCAGGGGTGGGCAAACTACGGCCCGTGGGCCACATCCGGCCCGTTGGTCTTTTTAATCCGGCCCGCCGAAGATTGGTACAGAATTAAGGTTTGATGTGAATGATTGAATGATTGCATTCATTTGATTTTGACTTGTAATGACAGGCATTTCGACACCAGGTGGCGGCCCGTCTGTCAAATTTTAAAAGTCAATGAGGCCCCCGAGCCAAAAAGTTTGCCCACCCCTGCCCTAAACTGTTGAAATGCTTTCATGACATGTACCCGGATAAACTGCACTATTTACCTCCATTCGTATCTCTTTCCAGATAGATGCACCTCTCTTTTTCCTAGGGGAGGGGGGAAGCATGTCAGGCCCCACTTCATCCCCATTCTGCTGGGGAGGGGGCCCTGGATATTATTTTGCTGTTTCTGGCTTTCCTGTCACTTTGATATACTGCTTGAGAAAGGGAGGGGGAGAGGATTGCTTGGGGTCATCCTGCCTTGCTTGCCTTGCTATCACTTCCCCTCAATAAAAGTTTCCTTTTGAAATAATGCCTATTTCAAGAGTTCTGCTTTCTTGAAGGGAGAGGAGAGGCAAGTCCTTACAATGTGTCTATTCTTCCTTCTCTATTTGTGTTATCCTTGTGGGGCTATTGTTTCTGTGTCTCAGAGGAAAAAACAGATTTGAAATATTCCCAAACTTTAACCGACTCCCACCCCCACAGCCCGGGTTGGAATTTTGTTGAAACCAAAATTCCAACAACCAATGCAAAAACCAGTCCACCAGCAAATAAAGTTTTAAAAAAAAAACAGAAAAAAGGTGCAACAAAATAAAAGTGTTAAACCAGCAAGCCAGCCAGCTGTCAAACCTGTTCTAAGCTTCTTTAAGAAAAGAAAAAAAGCTCTATCCAAGTTTCTTCTACAATCTTAACTATTCAGAGCCCTTAAAGGGTGGTCTGAACACACAGAGACCGAATGTAGAACTGGGGACCGTTACTGAGGTGTGTGTGTGTCCTCAGTTTTCAACTCAGTCTGCAAAGTTATGAGACTAGATACTACCCATCCTAGATTCTCCCTTCGGCTCAGTGGAGAAAGACATAGCTGTTTGGAAGAATTCACTATAATTTAGGGGTAATATATTAACTATGCAAAACAGTTGTTCTTACCTCACCACAATATTCCGAGATGAATTCATTTTTCTGCACTGGATCCTTAATGAAAATCCCCCAGCCTGCCACATCAGAAGGTGCTAGCAGCAGATGCTAGCAGAATGAAAAAGCAAGTGCCTTAAACAAGCCAATAAAACTAAAAAGATACTTAGTTCTAACAAAATACATAGTATGCAATATTAAAAGGGACAAAAAAACAAGCAAATTAGTTGATTAACAACGATTTTGTGTTTAGTGCTTGTTCATATAAATAGTGAAATTCGACATGCAGACTCATAGATATTCACAGAAAATACAGTTTTGAAACACAAAATGATCTTCCATTGAATCCACATCAGAGTAACCTCCATCCCACCCCAATTTTTCTTGAGTCTTTTGAAACTTTGAATCAGTATGAATGCAGGTATTTCAAAACTGCAAAGGCATCAAATGAGGCAGTTATGTGTCAGTTAAAATTATACCTCATACATTAACAGCATTTTACTCAAAGCCTATTTGTTTTGTGTCACTGATACTATATTATCGACAGGGGAATTCTGTACAAGAGCATTAACATGAATAGAATCTGAATAAGAACAATGTAGCACTAATTTGCATAGAACTGTGTCATTAAAAGCAAGCTTTAGTTAAGATATAAAAACTAGTCTATGGTATTCCCATAAAATTCCACTATACTATTAGAAATATAACAAAAATGAATATATTGTGTATTAGCATAATTTCCTATTTTTACATAAACTTAACATGGTGAAACCTTCAGAAGAATGTGCTATTACAGAACCTTCTGCTTTCCAACACTGAATTTATTTTGTGTTGCTTAATTTCTGTTAAAATGAAAGTAACAACTTCAGATGTGCATATTTTTTGTCTGTGAGTATAACACTGTATGTTCACTAAAGAACAATTTCTATGGTAGTCTACCATAAGTGTAATATGTTTATGTGCCAATCCTAGTGTATAGCTGGCAGTTTCTATGTTAGAACAGTGTTCAAGATGGCTGATCACACAAGCTATAATATACAAGCATTTGATAACTGAACTTTCGCATGTGTAAACTGTGCATTGAGAATATACAATTTCTGAATATACAGTTTCACACATCCTTTGGTTGCAAGCATGAAGTAATAAAACTAGAATGGTTTACAATCCTAATTTGATTACCATCCCAACAAAAAACACACTTAGAGTATTTTCCAACAAACTAAGTAATATAAATCAGGGAACAGGTTATGTAAAAACCATCTTTCACTTTCTTGAAGAAGAATGCTCAAGGCATCCATGCTCTATACATTTTGAAGAGATGTCTATCATGAACAAAGATGAACCACCTTTTTGGACCCTCGTTGAATGCTGCAGTTCTTGCAAGACACGTTTTTGCTATCCCAATGATCGGCTGCTCCACATGTCAAACAGAGATCTGGATCACACTCACGTACAGCTAAGTAGCAAGGACATTGCTTTGTATTGCATTGTGCTTTACAACGGCATCCGGGAAACCTATTTTGGCCTTTAAAAAAACAAACAAAGTTGCATCAATTTATTTAATTCTGTTACAAACTGCTGGATTGATCAGGATTTTGTTCAGTTTAAAATGCTAGGCAATGCAAATATAGGCACCAAACTGAAGTAGAAACCCAAAGAGCTTCAAGTAGACCATCGCATTACATATCTAGAGGTTACTTATATAAATAGTTCAGGTAATACGATGTATAAGCAGTTCATACATTTTAGGTGTATGTTATTTAAAATATTGTCTATTCAAACTGCAGTTTTATCAGTAAAGTTTTGGGACAATGCCCTTTGAAATTTTAATCCTCCATAAATTCTGTGTTTGTGAAAAAATGCTATATGCTGCAAAAGATCTGGGGACCAAAACAGGAAATCCTCCAGAATCATTTTAAACTTTTCAAAGATTAGCTAACTTTGAAATAGTATGAAATAAAACTTGCTGGAAAAAGAAGACCCAGCCCCAAAACTGAAAAGAATAAAACAAAATGTATTTGAGAACGCCAATAAACCAGGAAGATGGCTAGCTTGGAAATTGAAGAAACAAGCGGGAAAAAGATGGATCACTAAGCTACAAAACGAACAGGGAGAAATATGTTATCAAGAAGAAATGAAAAGGAATTCAGAAATTTTATGAGGATCTATATAAAGAAGAAGAATATGTAACAGAAGAAAAAGTGTCAAAATTATAATTCTGAGGCAAATTTTTGTGGGCTATAGAGGCCAATATAGTTTTCCCTGAGCTGGATATGGTTCAAGGTCTGAAACTGTGAATCAGTCTGCTTCCATGAATTGCACTTTAGAATATTCTATATAAATTTCTTTATAAATGCCTTCTGTAAAAGAATACAAAAAATACTAGAAAAGATTCCCTTCTAGGATCTTATTCATTATTACTGATCTTCAGGAAGAAATATAAGCAACAGGAAAATTCTGGTTGATGTTGCGGCAACAACAGTTTGGAAAACAGAGGGCTCCGTTGAGCTCCATGAAATCCAACTGCTGTTGGGAGACCCTAAGGGATCAAAGACGCCTTGGAGGAGTGGCGAAGAAAAGAGAAGTGCTTTGTGGACCACAAGGAACTCACAATTTCCTCATTAGGTCCGAAGCAAGCTCTCCTGAATGGCATAGGGACGACAGCCATTTTTGGCAAGTCACAAGCTGGGACAACTGGGACCATAAGATCTGTGCAGGTGTGGTCCATGGACAGAACATTGAAACTGGATGAGATAACTTTCAATTCTTACTCTAAAGACTTAACTTATGGAACAAGAATTTCAAAAAATAATCTCCAAGCTTTAAGGAAGCAGCGATTAGACACATGGAGAAGACTAAAGACTGAAAATTAAGAGGTGAAAGAAATGCTCAAAGGAAGCTTTAAGCCTGGAAAAAAGCTTAAATAATCTGAAAGGTGATTTTTGGGAGAAAGCGTCTTTCTTATTTGTATCTTTAAACCTCTTGGATTTATCAGATAATCAGCTGTTGACATTGACATACTGTTAATGTTGGAATTTGGAGAAGGAGAGCCATCTACTGGAAGAAGAGGAGCACTACAACATGAGAACTTTCAATGAAAGTGAGGAATGTCTAATACACATAATAGAAGAAAGTAAACAACACCTAGAAGGTGGCCTGCCTGACTTTGATTCTATCTTAGAAGACGATTTGGATATTTTGAAATACTTAGTATGTTTCTTTTCTTTTTTGAATATTTTTAAGATGAATAAATTGCAAATAACTAAACTCTATTAAACTAGTTTGGAGAAAACCTAGTGGATTAATTTGGATTTGGATTATTAATGCTACTTGACAGAACACTCTACAAGGCAAAAGAAGAAAGGTGATAGAAGAAAAGAGAAAAGAAGAAAAGTTAGATAAGACTTTAAAATTTGGACAATTGAGAAGACAAATAACTGGAAAACCAAAAGGCTGTAAATATTAAAGAACTTTAAAGATTATAAATTTAGGGGATTTGGAGGTATAACTATGGGATTGATTAAATCTTATTAATAATTGGCTCAGTTGGGGTTTTTAAATATTGAGACGTTGGAAGCATAGAGGTATATTGAATATTTTTTACTAAATTGTTACAAAATGGATTATCAGGGGATAATAGAGGGATATGAAGAAATAATTTTGATGCTCAAAAGCATGCATGAAACTATAAAGAACAATAAGGAGACAAGGGGATTGTCTAAAGATAAAGAAATAAGTGCAGAAGCATCTTAACAATTGGGGGAAAAAGATGAACATGATATTCAGAAAATAGATGAGAAATTAGAAGAAGCAATGGAAGAGAGAAATCAAAATGTGATGCCAGAGGACAAAGATAACGAAGGGAAAGGATTGATAAGCAGGAGTCAAATAGATAGCTCCTTAAAGTTTATAATAAAACAGAGAGAAAAAAGAAAAAACTCTTAAAAAAAATAAAGGTTTAGAGAGAAAAACATATCTTCAAAAAAAAAAGAAAGACTTATGGATGGTTGCCCAAATGATACAGCAGAAAGAGACAATTGGCAACCTGAAAGGAATACTCAGTGGGTATAAAAATGTCAAAAAAAGTTATATAAGATTCCAAGAGAGAAAAATAAAAGGGTGATTAAAAAGTCAACAAATGGTGGAAACTCCAAAAAGGTTAAGAAATGATCGATAGAGATAAAATATATTAATAAAATGAAAAAGTAGAAAATACAAATAGAGAAAATAGTAGCATATATATTAACAGATAATAAAATTTATAATTAAAAATAAACTAATCTTAGAAGGTAGAGGCTTAGGATTAGGTCATCTAATTGTATTTTAATATTAACAATGTGTTAAAATATATTGTGAACTTAACTTTTAAGGATTAGAAATTGTAGGGATTTTGATATAATCTTGGGATTGATTAAATTTTGTTAATATTTGGCCTTATTAGGAGCCCTAGACATTTTGGATATTGAAATTATGGTGGAATAATGAGTAATTTTTAAAATATTAAATATTAGTGACTTAGTAGGAGATAACAAATTCATGGTGCAAAGAAATGCTATTTATGTTTAAATGAATTAATGGGGGGAAATGATAAAGAATTATAAAGAGAGAATGGTGTTGTTGAAGTTGGAAGATTAGGATTATGCATACTTGTTTGAATTATTATTGTAAGCATTGTTTAAAAAGGACATTGACCCAGTACATACATTGTCCACAAAATATATATGGTGTGAAAGGAAAACTGCAAATAAAACATGAAATAATGAAGAAATCATGGGGGATGGGGGGAACTATTGCACTGGGGAATGTTAATGGCTGCTATGACTGACACAATAACTGCCTGTTTTAAATGAGTTTTATTTACAATTTAAGTAAGAAAACAGTACATAGAATCATGGGGCTGGAAGGGACCTCAGAGGTGTTCTAGTCCAATCTCCTGTTCAAGGCCGAAACTTTATAACATGCCAGTCAAATGGTTGTCCAATCTGTTTTTGAAAGAACTAACCTGACACTGAGTATTTTTTAAAAATCCATCTTTCAGTCTGAATAACTATCTGCTCAATCTCCTTCCTCTGATGAGCTAAACTTAGTATCAGTTTCCGATTACAGGGATATTGTTGTTTTTTAAAAAATGTAACAACTCCAAACCAGAACCAAAAGAAAAAATACAGCTAATTAGACAGGGAGTATGGAACGAAGTGGAAGAGCTTTAGCAATTTGCCCCAGTATACTTTTAATTAGGGATCATTCGGTCTTGAATCTTCTACCTATTCTACCATTGGGAGAAAACTTCACAACGACCCCAAAAAGGCAAATTGTGAACCCTCTTCTTCTATCTCCTGCCACCTGACCAGATTTTTTTAAAATCTGAATGAATTATTAAACTTTGTTAAGCTTTTCACAAGAATGGCTTTAAATCTTTATCAATGAGACAACTTCTTGTGTAAATCATATTAAAATAAAATTTCCCCAATACTTACATTCTGAACTGCACTGACAGAACTTCTCACAAAAGTTCTGTGCAATGACACACGGACATGAATTGTCACAAGGCTGGCGTGGATGATCACATGGCTGGTAGTTGTAAACATGATTAGATGATCCATCTGAACAACAACAAATGTAGATATTATTAAGGACAAAAAAATTGATAAACCTTCTGAAGAATATATTTTCAGCCAAATAATTACATAAAACCCCTGCATATCCCTATATATTTTCAATAATTAGGGAATGGGTACGAGAAATAACCTAAATTCAATGCACTTAAACAAAATCTTTTAGTACTCTTATCTTTCTTTTTTGAGCCAAAGGAGCAATATGGAAAATATATTTTTGGATGTCTCCTGATGCAAGAATTATAAAGGCACACCGTTACTGTTTTCTACTATAAAATGTTTGGAAAAAGGAGTAATGTTTTATTTTTGGAAGTGGATCAAGCCCAAAATCTTCCCACTTTTCTGATATATTCTTAGAACTGGGAAAATACTATACTGATCCTAGAGTCAGTATAATTTCTATTCCTCTCATGTAGGACAATTAAATCAAGGTAGCCTTCTGGCTTAAATTAAACTAAAATATCCTTAGGGACAAAATGTCTCCATATACATACTGAAATCACTTGCTTATTAAAATTTACAGGTAGGATAAGAAACAAAAACAGAATTTCAGGTCATAGGTTCAAAGATGCTAACCCTTCTTTAGCTGTATTTTTCTGCAATGAGCAGCCCACAGTCTATAAAAAGAAAAAAAATACAATATAGTTAATAGATTTTTCACATGGAAAATGCACCAAACTCAAGCTACATTTAAAAAATAAATTTTGATATTTTATATCACTTTCAGAAACAAGTGTCATAATGGCACCTAATTCAGTCTCTTGTAATTCAGTCTCTTGCAAGGGATGAAGAAAATAGTGAAGGTCAGTTAGTACAAAGCAGTACAGGGCAGTGACAGGAACTAGATTGGATCTGATGGGAAAGGCTGCTTCAGAACTTCCAAGATGTTTGGAGCTACCTGCGGGACAACTGTTTTGCAATACACTGTGAATGCTTCCCAGGTATTCAGCTTCGTACTGCATTGGAATTTCCCAACATTTAAAGGCATAGATTTGGAGGGGGGAGAGCAGGTGGGAGGAGTTGCAACATCCCTGTGACCACTTATAAGTATAGGCATAGTATAAGTATAGGCATACATCCAAGCACCTGGATTTTGATTACATGACTGTTTGGGAGGGATGTCTGCAACAGACACAATTTCAGGCACATATATGTCTATTTGTTCAGCACCATTGTAATTTCAAATGGACACCAAATGAACATTTATAAATCAAGAACTACCTGTGTAGGTCAAACAGAATGGGCTGGTTCTGAGGTTTCAGATAATTCACAATATACACTGCTTGGATGGAGACAAGGCTATGGCCAGCAGAACACTGACTAGATAGAAGTGCTCACAGCTTCATATTACTACCCATCTACTAAAAAATAAGATATAACCATTCTTGCTAAAAGAAATTATATTTTACATGGGTGGGTACACTAAAGAAAATCAATAAAGTATATTTGCTTTACAAGTAAATGTGGAAATACTGAGGGACTCCAAAGTCAAACTGCTATTATACAGGTGATTAATGGAGTCGTCTTGTGCACTGACTGCACACTTTTGTGTTTTGCTAAAAATGAGCATTCTGGGAGGAAGGGACATACATGATCCAATCTTGGTAACTGGAAAATTCTAAAATCAGCAGATGAAAATCATCCCCACTATTTTTATGGCATTATAAAGATTCCATATTCATTTTCCTTGATAATACAGTTCAGCTGATTAATGAATATTAACAGTGATTTTCATATTTGTGGCTTTAACTGTTATTTAATTTTGGTTAGCTATCTTTAGTAATCTCTGCATAGAAGGACAGGATACAAATAAAATAACAGTTGTGATAGGAATTCTCTATTATTTTACAATCACAAATGGTGAGGTAATGACATAATGATATCAACAAACCAGACACAGCTACTTTCATCCCCTTTTCTCCATATTGCCATATTTCACCGCAAATTTTGGCAGTGAAATTATTTTAGAAAAAAATCCATTATTTATATTTGTTTTGAATTTTAAAGTTATTACAGGAACATTTAAAGCACATGTTTTTTATATCTCAAGAAGTCCTTATATTAAGGACATTTTAATTGCATTTCAATTTCTATATTGATTTGCAATAGATTCTTCCACTCAAATATTGAAAATTTCCTGATGCAATCCTAGAATGCACTATTAACAAAAAAATAATAGTGTAGTTTATACTTTTTTATTTGCCACATTCCTTTCATTAATATTTAAAAATTTCTTTTTTTAAATGTTGTGGAATGGTTGATTGATTTACCTGTGTTTCCTTTTTTTCTTTCTTGGAGGAGTATCAACATCTTCAGCAGGTGCTGGAGCAATAATACTAGATTCCTTTACTCTAAACTCATATACCTGTAAAATATTAATTATCTCCTAAGTTTCATTGCAATGTTTTATTGAGTTGAATTTGATATATTAATGGTTTCCACAAAATTGGATACATTTGAAATTACTAAATTTCACTAATAATATTTTTGAAACATTTTCAATATTTAGGCTTACCTGCCTGCATGTTTTGGTCCCAATTAACCTGGCTATTGCACAGAAATTGTCATAGTAGGTACCAATGAGAACCCTGAACATAGAAGCTTCAGCACCACTCCATTCAACATTTTCTGGAGGCTCTGCATTTGGTTTCATCTTGATTGGTGTTTGACACCTAGAATTTGCTTCTGCAATATTAAAAGAAAACAGTTTTAAGTCTCAGAAATCACAGCAATGATCATACCAAAAAACAAAACAAATAATCAAGCATCCTACTTTCAATATCATACCATTTTAAATATAGCCTGGTAGGCAACGTATGCACTTTACAGCCAACAGGCATGACCAAAGTGAAGAGATTGTAGGAACTGTGGTCCAAAACATATGGAGGACTTCATATTACTAGTTCCGATATACAGCATTGTATAATGTTAATAAACTCTAATCTCACCCCTCACATTTCTAAAACAATTTTTATTTTATATTTACAATTAATGCAGGACTTCCAGATGAGGAATGATGAGCTAGCATGTCTCTGAATGACTGGAAATAACATTGTAGCCACAAAGGAGTAGCAAGTAGACCAGTCCCTTGGAATCTCTCTGGATAAAGAGAGAACAAGAGATTGCACGCTTGTACTCCGGATAGCTCCTTGCAAAGTAGTAATTTCCTGTGGGTTTAAATACTTGAAACAAAAAGAAGTCATCATGCTCTCAACAGTGAAGAAACCTTTTAATGAGCAGTGGGTTCACAAACCTTATTTTTGAATCACTTTTTGAAATTATCTTGAGGCTAATGGAGAGTTTCAAAATGCAAAGCCATCTGGTGATTTTACTTTCATTCCAAAATAAAAGAAATATTAATTATAACCTTGAGAATATTTTTAAAAATGGCAAAAGGCTATATAAAATTTTATTTCAATCAAGTTATAAACAAGGTAAAGGACAAAACAAATTTGAATTTTTTGTTATGGAATTTTGGAAATAATTATATAAACAAATGCACCTTCACAGGAAATAGAAATTTGATATTTTATTATTTAAAAAAATAGATACCAGGGGACAGACATTCCAGATATAAAGGGATGGCGGGGGTTACAGGGTATAGTATGACACTTAAAATATTCCAGGAGATATTTCAAGAATGGAGACAGAAGCTAGCAGCTTGCTTCTATAGATAGACTATGTCCAAAAGATGTTAAAGAAGAAATAAAAGGTGTGGAAGAGAATATTCTGGAAGATTCATAGGATAAAGAACTGAAACAAACCTCATGTGATGCAGAAATATTAGAGTATAAAGAAACTGTTGAAATAATATAAAATAAAAATGTGGTTTATAATAGGGTACCCAAATCCCAGTCCGCAGACAGGTACCAGTCTGCAATCTGTTGAGAACCAGGCCATGCAAATGGTAGGCGAATGCGCGAAGTTTGATTTGTGCATATGCAGGATCTAGGTTTCATGTGCAAAACCATCCCCTCGCCGATGCCACCAACGCCGGTTCATGGAGCCAGAAAAGTTGGGGACAGCTGGATTATAAGACAGAGATGACAATTAAAGTGGAAAAACAAATGATAAGAGAATGACCATGATCATGATTCCTTACTGGATTTACAAAAAGGCTTTCCAAAGCTCAAAGAAGCCTCTGAAATAGGCCAAAAAAAAAAACTGAAGAGAGATCAAATTCTATATCCACATCTGAATGAATTAAAGATCAAGACTGCTAAAACCAAAAGGAATAAGTACAAAGCGAGTTTGTTTGACAAATGTTAAAATAAGACATGCTTCTATAAAATTTAAGCTGCACTTTATGGATTTTTTGCTGATACCAGGATTGAAATATTAATGATATTGGCATATGGATAAGGCATGAGTTATGAGAAGAACAGATACCTTTTTGAAATCTTACAGGGGTGAAGAATTCTAATTTTATTTGTGCTTGTGATGAAAATCAAAGGTCACTTCTTTAAATATTTCTTTTCCCTTTTTATTTTTTATTTTTCTTCTTTCTTTTCTTTTCTCTTGCATTTTCTATTCTACTCACATATTTCCTCTTCCCCCTCCCTCTTTACTCTTCCTTTCTGAGTTTGATTCTTATTGTCTTTTTTTAAAAATAAATAACAATATTTTGGGGTAGAATCAGAGAAGCAATAAATACAAATGTCACCAATAATATCCCCAAAAGATAGGAAATTCTTATGATATTCCTGTGTCAGGTTCGACTAAACAATTTACTCTCGACACAGAAAGAAAACAAGCAAGCCTAAGGTAGGGAGGGAGATCGACTGAAACAGTATAGGCCAACTTGTTTTATGGTATAAAAGTAAATGATTTTACACAGCACAGTAAAATTGATTATAGTAGCATGCTCCAGCATGAAGTTAGAAATTCATGTTTGAGCACCTTTGATACCCCTTGAAGTATCAAAGAATATACATTGTAATTATTAAATCTAACTTGATGAGATAAAATTGTCAAACAATGGATTAATTACCACTGTCAAGAAAAGCATTTCTTAGATTTTTATCTAAGGTATAACTGAAGAATCTAGCATGTGTTGGAGCATAAAGGAAAGAGTAATCACACATATTTAATTATTAGCTATTTCCATCATATTATGTCAGAAGTATCTTACACAGTAATTATTCAATGTTCCATTTATTTACTTGACTTAAAGCAGTTCCAGTTCTGTTGTTCAGTACGCATTTCTGAAGAGAAAGTATCTCTGGTTAAATTTTGGTGACAGAAGAATTTAGGGCTGATATATAAAAGGCCTGAAAGATTCTTGTTTTGTTCATTCTTTTGATGAAGCTCAAGTGCCAGAACCTCAACATGGCTTTCTCAGCATGAATAATCACTATTATATTATTATTATTACATGCTTTAAATAAAGTTTCATTGTTAATTGGAGTAGATTGCATATGTGAACTCGATGAAAAACTTGAATTAAATTTACTGGCCTACTTATTCTTTTTGGATTTAGAAAATAGTTTCTTTTCATATATAACTTGAGCAAAGGAAAAGAAAAAGAAAGATAACACACTAGAAAAGGAAATTCTCCCTCCCAGGAATTAGTAAAGTTAATCCTGTTGCTGGATGCCTACTTGTATTATTCTAAAAACTTAATGGCTCCAATTATATTAATCTCTTACACAATAACTTCATACTTTTTAAAAAAATGCACACAAACAAAAGTAATTTAACAGAAACTACTTTTGCTCAGTTTAGACCAGGAGTGTCTAACTCGCCTTGTCATGGCAGCATCACGTGATGTACTGGGACTTTTTTCCCCTTTGCTAAACCAGGCAGGGATGGGGCCAGCATGTGATGCCTCCAGCCCACAGGCCGCGAGTTTGACACCCCTGGTTTAGATGGATATACATGCATCCATAAAAATATATAAAATCAAAAAAATGTTATATATTCTAAAATTATCATTAATTAAATTCTGAATTTAATTCTTATTCCCTAAAGGATTTTCAATAATTTAAATTATAGGTAGTTCTCAAGGTACAAACTTAATGGAGCTTCCTAATGAAGTAAAAAAAACTCATCAAATGAATCAGACTTAATTTTACAATTTTTTTAAATCAAATTTATGAATTTAATGAAATGACTCATTAACTGAACAAAGATCTGATTTACTATTTCCTCCAATTTGTTAATTGATTGCTGCTACTGAGAGGCTTTCCCCTATGCTGCCAGCCGCCCATCAGCTGTTTCCAGTACAGCCTTCAGCCTAGAGCTAAAGTGACTTCAAGCAGGTTACAGAAATCTCCCTTTGCAATACTTTTTTTTTAAAAAAACCCATTTGTTGATACTTTAAAAAAAAAACCTCAACCATTGCCACTAGTTTAAGAGTCTCCAGCCTCAGAGGGAGATGGGGAGGGGTCAGCGTTTACAGAACTGTCAACTTGCAACAGTAAGAGATGGAAGGGACATTCAGGTCATCTAGTCTAACCCATTACTCTCACAACAGAGTATAGTATTCCTGATACCTATCCAATCTCTTCTTAAAAACTTTCAGTGATAGGGCACCCACAACTTCTGGAGGCAATTTAAATTTAAAACCTACAAACTACAGTAATTTATGTTAATCTCCAAAATAAAAACAAGGAAACACAACAAAGCATTATAAGCTTTGTGTAATGCTGGCTAGTTTAAAGGCAAATGCAATCACACTTTATCTTTAAAGGAGCATACTTACATACACAATAGTTTGCAAAGTAGAGTACTTAAAAACAGAGCACTTCCCAATGTGTTTGTTTGCAAGCACTATAGAGCGGTGATGCCACAGGTGACACGCAGAGTCATTTGTGCAGGTACGTGACCCAGCCAAACTTACCTCACTGTGCATGTGCGTGCCTCCCAGCTGATTTTCGCCTGTTTGAGGCCTTTTTCAGCCTCCCAGAGGCTTGAGGGGAGCCTCTGCAGCTTTTGGAGGCTGAAAAACAGGCCTGTTTGGTCACTTCCTGAAATACCGGGCCTGTTTTTCGGCCTCCAAAAGCTGCAGAGACTTCCCTTGCACCTCTGGGAGGCTGAAAAAGCCTCAAACGGGCAAAAATCAACTGGGAGGCAATGCAGGGAAGGGGGCAGCATGAAGATCACATGCGCATGGGGGGGCGCACACATTAATTTTTGACACAGGAGCCCAAAAAGGTTAGCCACCACTGCTATAGAGTAAGAAAAAAAATGTTTTTAATACTTACAGAAGCAAATCTAGCACTCCAGTCTTCAAGCCTGGGCCAAACAAGAGTTGAGCAGTACCAAAAAAGCAAAAACAAACCAACATCGGCTCGGTTCTTGTTTGACCATGTGACCTGGGACAAAAACAACAACAACCCTGCCAACTTCAACGGCCCAGGCAAATCACAGAATTAAAAATGGCTGCCACTGCAGCAGAGACTGAATCCAAGTCACATGGCTACACAGGCCTCTTTTTAGTTGCAATTCTGAATTTCTAACGTAAGTACCCTTTCTGAATAATTTTGTTTCTGTGAAAACTTGCTAAATAAATATTCATACCCAGGGATTACCTGTATTTGTGAATTCTGGAAGATGAACAATAAAGGATGACTATACTATAGAACCCAAAACATGATAGTTCAGGAACATTTCTTACAATGAAAAATTAATTTCATTATTTTCAAAAGCAGGTAGTGTTCTTTTTCAAAAGCACAGGTAACATAGCTCTTCAGTAAAACAACTGAACTTTAATCTAATATTTCTAGCCCAACATAAACACTTTTAACAAAATTAGCAACATCCCACAACTGTCTTACCAGAGGAACTTGAAGTCTCATCTTTTTTCTCTTCTTCTTCTTTATCATTATTTTCACCTCCAGTTTCAGTTCCAGCTTCTCTGTCACTGTCTGTATCCTTTGATTCTAGCACATTTATGGTTGGTGTGCTGGGCCTACTGGTATTATTTGGAAGCCTTCCCCTTCTGCGACCTCCTGGGCGCTTTGGTGGTGTTTTTATTCTCTCAGCAGTCAAAGCAGCAGCAAACTCTTTAGCTCCTTCCTAGCAGGCACAGAAGTATTTCAGGATATAGGAAAATGCATAGAAAATAGAGCCTTACTAAAATGTGGTTTAAAAAACATTGGTTAGAATAGAATAGAATAGAACAGAACAGAACAGAACAGAACAGAACAGAATAGAATAGAATAGAATTCTTTATTGGCCAAGTGTGATTGGACACACAAGGAATTTGTCTTGGTGCAAATGCTCTCAGTACACATAAAAGAAAAGATACATTGGTCTGGTATTAAAAGCAAATTGATATGTTAGATCAGAACTACAAGTAAGATTGGAAATCATAAAGGTAAATATAATGAAATTATAACTAAAAGTTTTAAAAATCTGATTTATTCCAGTCAGTTCCCTTAAGAATTCTGTACGGTGGCCTGATAATTTTTATTATCAGAAAGAAAAATTGGGGCTTAATAGGTCATGCTTCAGATTCTATCAGCTAGGAAAACAATGAAATTTGTCTGCATTGTTTGGCAGATATTTAATTAAAGATGAATTAGCAGATCATTACACGAAGGATCAGAGTAGATCTGGCAGTGGCAAAACCCATGATTGATCAGTTCAGTGTCCTATTTCGGGACATCATTTGTAGAGGGATAGGATATTATAACTCTAAAACTGTAAAGGGAAGAGCATTAAATCATATTCCAGAAAACGTCCAGGAATATTTGGAATAAATGAGAAGCTTAAATATATTAAAGGTCAATAAATCTTGATTGATGGACTTAGTTTATTTTAAAATTCTATGTTCTCTATTCACTGTTTCATAATTTCTATGGCTATTCTGGATAATTTCTATGGCTATTTCTGGAGGGAATATCAATATCAATAGCACTTAGATTTATATACCACTTCATAGTGCTTTAAAGCCTCCCCCCAAGGGGTTTACAGTCAGCATACTTCCTCTAACAATCTGGGTCCTCATTTTAGTGACCTCAGAAGGCTGAGTCAACCTTGAGCCAATCAGAATCAAACTCCTGGAAGTGAGCAGAGAGTTAGCCTGCGATACTGCATTTTAACCACTGCACCACCACTGCACCTTTCAATAGCCATTTCTAACTTTGTTTTCCTACTATTTAGATTTATCTAAATTTCAATCATTATTACTAGAAGCATCCCACCAGTGATCAAATCATAGTTTAAAAATATCACATTTCAACACTAAGGAGGTTCAATTCTGAGGAGACCTGTTACAACTGAAGCCTTGGGTCCACTGCGTGACCATGGCCCGGGAAGACACTGCTGCGGAGTGGATAGTCTCCCTCCACAATTATGGATGCAGCAGCGCTCCTAAGCTTTGACTGATTCATGATGGCCATGCACAAGCGGTTTGAAGACCCACTCCCCCAACACAAAGGCCAAACCTGCATCAAAACCATCAATCAGGACCATAGGGGGTGGCAGCGTACAACCAAGAGTTTCATGAACTGGCATGCTGGCTGACCAACTGGCCGGAGGTCATCCTAATAGAGTGCTTTCAAGATGGGCTTAACAACAAGGTATACAACATCTGTATCTCACAGAGAGCCCCCTGTATTCTCCACCAGTGATATGTGCTAGCTAAAGAGGTGGGTATAACCTGGCTGGTCCCAGTCAAAATTTCCTGCGGATGGAGACGTTTTCCTCTTCCGGTGAAGGTAGAAGCCCAGAGAACACCAAGACCTAACCTCAGCCCCAAATGATGACCTCTGGATGCTTCAAGTGCAGGAAGGAAGGGCACCGAGCCACTGTCTTGCCAAAATGACCCCAAAGACTGGTGAAAAGGTGGGAAAAGCCACCCCAAGGCACTGCAAAATGGTGTTAGAAGAAATTGAAGTCATTGAGTTCTCTCCTCTTGACTACAGGGAGCAGAAAACTCCAACCACCCAAGAGGAGCAAAACTGACTCTGATGATAATCCCCCTGGTAAGTTGCCCTGTGAACCCCATCACCATCACAGTTGAGCTGAATGTGCCATTACCAAGCACCCAGAGGAAGGAGTTAATCTTACTGGACTCAAGCTGCATGAGATGCAGTTCTGAGGTGGTGGAAATATTAGGACTCAGACTCTTGACAGTTAAGGGTACCCATAGAATTTTGCCAGCTAGATGGGACAGGGGAACCCCAGCTCACTTTTTAATGGATCTAATCCTTAGATCTATTTGCACAACAATTCTAGTGGCCATTTCTCAAAAAAGACATTGAAAGCTAGCCAATTGCCCAGTGTGTGCATTGGCCAAAAGATGATGAGGGAAACTCATGGGACTACTGCAACTATGGCAAATCCCCATGCCTCTTGGAAAGAGATCTCTATGGATTTTTGTAGTGGAACTGCCTGAGAATGCTGGAAACACCATAATGTGGGTGGTTGCTGACTTGTTCTCAAAACAAGTCCACTTTATCCCTTGTTCAAAGAACCCATCAGCCTGTATCTTAGCTAAGCTATTGGTGCAGCTTATTTACAGACTTCATAGTATTTCTGATCGAATTATCTCAGATGGGGGGGTGCAATTCACCTTGTGCTTTTGGTGCAAATTTTTGATACTCATGGGGACTACCCCAGCCTTAAGCTCCTCCCACCACCCCTAAATGAATGGGGGGGGGTGCAAAAAAGCCAACTCAATATTGAACAGTATCTCAGATACTACGTTAATTATCAACAAGATAATTAGACTGATCTTTTACCATTTGCAGAAATGGCAGATAATAATTCAGAGCATAATGGCAGCACCAGATTTATCCCTTCAAGGTAGTTTCGGGTCAGTTCATAGGAATCCCAGAACTAGCTAGCTTTGGACAAACTCCAGAACTCCTCATTACAAGAATGGATACAACTACAAAATATGTGGCCAATAGGATTCAAAGCTTGAGGAAGTGCAAGAAACCTACAAATGGCAGGCTGATAAAAGATGTGCCAAACTAAAGGAATTTAAAGTGGGAGACAGAATATCTCTCTCCACAAAAGTACATAGAGTGTATCCAATGATTAAAAAAACTGGGCCTTAAGTACATTGGTCCCTCCCGAATTAACAAAATTATCAACTCAGTCATGGCACAATTGGAATTGCCCAAAAACCTGTAACAAATTTAGCCTGTACTTCATTGTAGCCAAACCAAGCCTCAAGAATTCCAAGCTTCAAGAATGCCAGCCTTGGGAAAGGAATTTACACTGGTGCCTGAAGCACTGTGTTCCCAAAACATGAGAATGAGACTTATTTGAACTGCTCTCCCAATGGAGAGGGTTTTGGACATTGGGGATTGCTTTCAATATACGACTTTCGCACTGTTTTTCTTCAGAGCTTGTCTCATCCCAGAGGTGGTATTCAACCGGTTCTCACCGGCTCGGTTGAACTGGTAGGAGTGATTTGGCATGGGTTGCTGAACCGGTGGTGACCCCTGGCTGGCCATGCCCCCGAAACGGATCGCCCAGTCACCCGCTTGCCCCAGTCGCTCTCCTAGCTTTGCTTACCACGTGGTGGCTGTGGCGCAGCTCAGGCAGATATCCCAGGGCTGCTGCACATGTGCACTGCGTGTGCAGCTGCTACAAGTGCAGTGCACATGTGCAGCAGCCCCGGGACATCTGCCTGCCTGCCCACTCTCCTGGAGAAAGTTTTCTTCCTTCTCCCGGTGGATGCGCCTCTTCCAGCCCGGCCCAGCCAGCCAGCAGGTGGGTGGGGGGATGTCCCGGGGCTTCTCACCCCGCTTATCGCGATATGCCTGCAGCAACCCCTCAGGCCGACTGAGCCGGGAGCCGCCGTTCCCAGGCTTCTACTCACCCGTGCTTGGTCGACGCCTCTTCACCTTACCTGAAGCGGCTGGTCCTGCCCCCCCTCCCCTCCATCGCCTGGCCTGAGAAGGTAAGGGCGATGGCAGGGGATAGCGAAGCAGCCGGGTCCCTATCTTCCCCCCTGTTTCTCTGTGTCTGTGGGTGTCTATGTGTGTGTGTGTGTCTCTCTCTCCCTCAAAGCCGTGGCTGGACTTTCCTTGGTGCTTTTTGCTACTTTCATTTCTTCTTTTTGGAATCCAGACTGGCTGAACAAGGATTTCCAGCCACGCTGAAAGCATCCCTTCGGGCAACCCTTCTCCTCCTCCTTCTCCTTACGTGTGTACGCCACCCTCCCGGACCCGCTACGGCCGCTGGTTGCAAGAGGAGGAGAAAGGTTGGCCGAAGAGACTGGCTGAACAAGGATCGACAGCCATGCTGGAAGCATCCCTTCAGGCAACCCTTCTCCTCCTCCTGGTGAACTTCAAATAAAACATAAGGTGACACCAGTCACTACTGGCACATGGAACATATGCACACTTCAAGACAACCCCTCAGCAGATCAACCAGAAAGAAGAACAGTCCTGGTCATCAGAGAACTTGCAAGATTTAACATTGATATTGCAACCCTGTGTGAAATTTGTCTAGCCAACGAAGGTCAGCTCACAGAAACAGGAGGCAGTTACACGTTCTTCTGGTATGAACGCAGCAGTGATGAACGCCGCAAATCTGGAGTTGGCTTTGCGGTTAAGAATCATCTTGTCCATAAACTTGCCAGTTTTCCAAAGGGCGTAAATGACTGACTCATGACACTGCATCTCCAACTACCGAGAGGAAAGCAAGCCACACTGATCAGCACCTATGCACCCAACAATGACAAATCCGGATGAAGTAAAGGACAAGTTTTATGAAGATCTCAATGCTCTATCATCCATGAAGCGACTGACAGGTTGACTCTTCTCGGCCATTTCAACGCTAGAGTAGGATCCGATCACTCTGCTTGGGATGGCATCATTGGAAAAAATGGAATTGGTAAATTAACAACAATGGCCTATTACTACTGAATACATGTGTGGATCACAATCTGATCATCACCAATCCATCTTCCACCTGCCCACTCGCAAAAAGACATCCTGGATGCACCCTTACTCCAAGCACTGACATCTTATGTCATTGTGTGAAGGAAAGACAGACAGGATGTAAGGGTGACCAAGGCCATGCTGAGTGCTGACTGTTGGACTGACCACAGA